AAACGAATACTCGGAGAAAGTTAATTTTGTAGAACAGGAGACTAGCTCCGTGTCTGAAGAGGCAAATTCCGTAGAAATTGTTATCCCACAAAATTTTAAAGAAGCACGAAAATCAGTAAATGCCGAAGAATGGGATAAGGCAATGAAAGAAGAAATTGACACAATGAAGAAAAAGAAAGGTTTGAAAGGTTTGGGAATTAGTCGAAAAGCCAGAAAATAAAACTATGATAGGAAACAAATGGGTCTATACGCTAAAAAGAAATGAAAAGAATCAAGTGGTTAGATACAAAGCACGTTTAGTAGCACAGGGATTCAGGCAGAAAAGAGGTGAAGATTTTGATGACGTTTACAGTCCTGTAGTAAATTTTTCAATCATAAGAATATTTTTCACTGGTATGTTTATATATGGATGGACTAATTGTCAGTTAGATGTAAAGAACACATATTTATATGCAAACCTAAATGAAAAAATATATATGACCCAACCAGAGGGATTTATTGAAGAGGAAAATAAAGTGTGTTTATTACACAAGGCCATTTACAGTCTACATCAAAGCGGCCGTGAATGGTTTTGTGAATTTTGAAAGTACTTTAGAAAATCTACATTTTAAGAAAATACAATGGTGTAATTGTGTTTATAAGAGTTCAAATGTAATTCTCTTGTTATATGTAGATGATATTGTGATTTTTAGTAAAGATCAATATAGTATAGATAAAGTAATTTCACAGCTGAGTAAGTTTTTTGATCTTAAAGTATTAGGCAAAACTAAAACGTTACTTGGAATTGAATTCTTAGAGAATGAGAATGGGGTTTTTATACATCAGCAAAAATATATCGAAGAAATTTTTGAAAAATTTAAACATTTCCAGATACCAATAACTTCACTTCCCATAGCTAAAGGCACTATTCTTACAAAATTAGATTGTCCATCTACAAGTGCAGAAATTGCGGAAATGCATACATTACCCTTTAGAAATCTGTTGGGATGTTTAGTTTTTGTAGCTAACAGGACAAGGCCTGATATTACATATGCAGTGAATATCTTATCACATGGAATTAGACATTGGAAAGCATTGTTGAAATTGCTTGGTTATCTCAATAGTACTAAATTATATAAGTTAAACTTATCGAAGATTAAACATCTAAATTTATATTGTTATTCAGATGCTGATTATGCAAGTAATAGGGATGACTGCGTGTCCATGGGAGGATTTATATTATATTTAGATGAAGTACTGGTAATCTGGAAAACTGTTAAACAAAAATGTGTAAGTTTATCAACCATGGAAGCGGAGTATATCGCCTTATCTGAAGCAGCGAAGGAATTAATGTGGACGAAAAATGTCTTACAAGATGAAATTTTAAAGTTTAATTTAAGAGAATGTAAACTATTTTGTGATAACAAGTCTGCCATTGATTTTTCTAGATCGCCAATAGAAAATCGCCAAACTAAGCACATAGACATAAAATATCACTTTATTAGAAGACTAGTAAATGATGGAGTGTTTGATCTTGATTTTATCACCAGGAAATTAAATACCGTGGACTTATTTCTAAAAGCGGAGACTGCTGTTAATTTAAGAAAGTTTTGTTTAGATGTTTACAGTGTTTAAAGACAATAAGTGTTTTCGTATAATAGAACTGAACTATGAACTCCTGTAATTCTGTGTAAGTTTTGTTTTTGTCTTTGCATGAAGAAAAGAGGGCTGTTTGTTGGCGTTGGCTTTAGTTTTTCTTATGCAAATTTCGGTCGAAGGTCAATCGGCGGTAAGCTAACGTGGTTGCCGCTGATTGGCTGGTGACGTCAAGATTGGCGGGTTGGCTGAATATTACATATATGTACGCCAGTATCGCCGAATGTATTATTATGAGTTAGCATAATGCTAGTATTCATTCACTCAAATGATTTTAAATGTAAAGGCTACAGTGTTAGCTTATTTTATTATAATTTACGGAATAAAGCATGAATTTTATTTAGATTAGTCTTAGCTTTAGTTAAGGGAAGCAAAATATGTTTTGCCTTTATCGCCACTGCCAACACTATGGCCACAGAATTTAGGGCCCACAGAGACTGCATCAGATGGTAAGATATCTAGCACCGGCCCTCAATAAGGCTTAAGTATATGTGTGAATTTATTTATTCAGAACACTGATAAGCCTTAAGCAAGTGCAAGAAATAGACATAAGTATAATAAATAACTAAACTAATACAATTCAGGCTTAACTGTCTCAGTGTGCGATAGAAGCAAGATAAAATGTAATGGAACAACTTGTAGTTAGTCACCAAGCTCATGATGCATAGCCAAATACGTATAGTAAAGGATAACTAAATTTGATGAAGATAGCCGGTAATTTCAAAGGTTTTCGGATATCGCAAAGCAAAGGTGAAATTTTCCAATTAACTGATTTTGTAAAGAAATGTGGAGAAGAGGTAATAAATAAAGATGACATAAAAGTTTTTCATTGTGACGACAATGTTTCTCAATCATGGATCAATTAATGAATGGCGAAATCTGTAGTATGGTTCTAGATCCAGAAAATACCGCTGCCAATAGTGAAGAAAGTGACAGAGAAGTTACTGAAAACGAAAAAATTTCGATTGCCAAGTTAGTCGGAATTCTCGATACAGCAGTTAAAGGACTTAATGTAATTGAACAAGAGATTATGTCTGTCTACAGAATTAAAGAGAAAGTATAAGCACAAAAAATAAAGCAACTTAAAACAATTTACATTGAATGAAATGTTTAATAAGGTAAACAAATAAATATTAAGCTTTTTTATTGTAAATTTTGATACCCTTTAGATCATAAATACTTCATGATTTTATAAATCACAATTTCATATTTTTAATTTTATAATTTCTACATGCCATCTTACTAGATTTAATTGATGGTGTAATATCCGGAAAAATCCCAAATACGGAATTGCCGAAGTCCCGACGAGTCTGGATTTCAGAATTTGTACTGTAATAATAATATAAAAACCACACTCCATTCTATATGAAAAAAACAAACTAGAATAATAATTATATATTAAAAATTACAATGTGGGAGCTTTTTAAGTTTATATTGTATGAGAAGGAAGAAATTAACAGAGGTAAAGACACAGCCTCTGTTTTTGAACCAGTACTCCCTCAACATGGCCAGTTACTATAGTTAAGAATCATCCACAAATTTTCAACATTGATTAATTACAAATTACTTAGCTGCATTAATTTTACTTATTTTTTATATTCACTACATTCTCAGAATAATTATAAAACTCTTAACATTAAATATGAACATTTTAAAATAACTCAAAAATAAAATGATTAATAACATTACAATTTAATAATCTTTCTCGAAAAAAATTCTTTAATTAATTCAAAAAAAGTTATTTAAATTTATATTTTTAATACCATAAAAATTTTAATCTTTCATTTTCATAAAACAAAGAAGCAATATTATGTGTAAATTTCAAAATAACAGTAATTAATTAATTATTTCATTATTACAAAAAATTAAACATACCTTATTCTTACATGCAATTATTCATTTTTTTAAATTTTTAGTACTTTTATATTCATTATAAACATAGTTATTATTCGAAACATTACATATTTTCTATATTATACTCAAAACATAATTTTTATATTCATTATCTGTACTAACAAAAAATTTAAATAATAATCTCCTTTTTTAAATAATTCCAAAATCATAATTATCAATCACTTTAAAGTTTATTAACCTACACTTAAATAAAGTTAAAAAAATTATTTTTTTTTTACTTTATTTATTAGACCAAATGACTAAAATTAAAATGTCCGATAATGTCAAAATTTAGTCTGATATCTTCATAAACTGAGCAAAATTTTTTAAAATTCAATATGATAAGAAAAACAGAATATCTAAATTTCAAAGTAAGTAATTTATATCATTCACACTTTTTTTTATTCGATGATTATTTTTAACTGCATTAATTAATGAATAAATTAAATGGCAGAATCAGAATTGTAGAATTTTGAAAAACAGAAGCACTAAATTAAAAAAAAAAAAAAAAAAAAAAAAATTCACATACTTATTTGACTGAGTAAGTAATTTTTTTCACTGAGCACCTATATGAATTTTTTTACTTTCAGTTCACTTATAAGGAATAATTGGCACTCATGATTTATGATCTCAGCTCATGCTCGATATTAAAACTGAAGCGTACGAAAATAGTTCACATATGGCAATTGAAAACATTTTTTGTAAACACAAATTAATTACTGTAATGAAGCCTTTAAATTGCAGATGAGCACATTTTATTTTAAACTCTTAGATACTGTACACAGCACAAATGAGGATTTGATTATGAATGCAGGAAATAAAATAAACAGGCACAACATAGACTTGCATTAAAATTTTCAGTGAAACAGGACTTTCCCCTAAGGTGATCCACTGTTGACTAATTGTAATAACCTGGAAGAAGCTTGTTATAACAACTTGGCATGGTAGATGAATGCAAAACCAAAAACGTTCAATGTGGCTGCTGTTTTGAACACACAATTTTATTTTCATACTACAACAAGCCTTGAAGGGTGAGCAAACAGAATAGGAGGAGATGGCCTTGGTATAAAAAGTGAAGCCTTTACAAGAATGTTTAAATGAAGCAAAATAAATTTCAGATATACAATAGATTAATATTTCATGCTAGTTAAGATTTCATTCCACAAATAACTAAGCAAAAGAGATCAGATGACCGATCACTTTTCAGAATTACAGGAAGTAAAGATTATAGTATTAAAAAAGTCACTGTTTCCTACTTTTAGAATGAAGAAAATTTTGCTATTATTAATTTATAATTAAAAAGGTAGATATTTTACATTTTACACGAGTCAAACATTCACATATCACATTTACTCAAGTACACTCCAGTATTTTTTCTTCGGGAAGGGGGGGTGTTAATACTTCAAGATTTAAAATAAAAAATTATTATTTTATGTTTGATTTATTTGAAAGAAATAGATAGGCATAATTACCTATGAAGTTTCAATATCATTTCCTCGTTATCTTCATCAGCCACCAGATAGACATCTGAATAAAAATAACTGGCTCTATATAATAGTCACATTATTATACAAAGAGTTCACTTTAAAAACTATAATAATGAAATAGAACAGTTCATCTCCTTGCAGACAAATATCATAATTATGTTTTTCATGATATAAAAGGTTCGAAATATACCATAAATGCAAGGTTTATATTTTAGTTTGAAAGCATGTATAAAGTCTACTGCATGCCAAATTAGCATTTACTATCACAACTAAAAATAATAACAGAGTAGGTTTAGAATGATAATTATTAACCTCTGTATGTCTTTGTACATCAAAGTTCATTATCCAGCTTTTATAAATATATAAAACCAATGCTAAAATATTGATAATGCATGATTTTCTTATATGTGTGTTTAAGTTCTATTCAACATTAATTAACATGTTCATAATTAAAAAATTGCAACTTTAAGCAGGTTATAAAATTAAAAAGAAACACAATACTTGTTAGCAGTAATGAAGCACATAAAACAATTAAAATCTGATTTGATAATACATGACTATCTTGTATGGTCTATTAAATTATAAACATTTTTTGCTGCATTTCATTTAAACTTAATTCCTTGAATTTTATTACAGATATATTTCTCATTCAATCAATTCTGTTCTCACTTTGCAGCAAGGCAAAAATTAGTAAAAACTGGGGGGGGGGGACATTAAAAATTTCAAAATACTTGGAAGACATGCGAATGCACGAAAAAATATCTGACCGTTGTGATATGTGAAAAGTTAATACACATAAAAAATAGATTGACAGAAAAAAATATAAATAAAAGTTAATACACATAATAAATAGTTGACGAAAAAAAAAAAATATACCAAAACATAAAATGCAAGAAGACCATTGAAGCTCTTTTTGATGCGCATCAGACAAAGCTCATGGCTTTTCGGCGAAACGCGTATGGTTTGGCCTAGTTCGTACATTCAGTCATTTTTCCTTGAAAAGCTTGGCAGAGGGTACGAGTGGGTTAATTTACCATTTTCCGCTTTGAATTATTGTATTTTTGTATTTTAGCAATTTATGTTTTCATTATAATTTTTCCATTTTCTGTATTGGTATATTTTTTTTTCCATCACTCTATTTTTTATGTGTATTAACTTTTTATATATATTTTTTCTGTCAATCTACTTTTTATATGTATTAACTTTTCACATATCACAACGGTCAGATATTTTTCGTGCATTCACATGTCTTCCAACATTAATTTTAACTTTTTATTTCGCGTGTTTACAATTTTTTCCAGTTTTTCCAGATAAGTTTTTTAAAAAATTCTTCTTAGTTCATATTTTAGTAATACGCGTTGACATTTCGTGAGCTACGCTCCTGGTACTTTTAGCAGACGCGCAATTTTCACCTCATAGTCATACTTTCGCTTAGCGCAAAATTTGAGACAAATGTCTTTTTCTTACGTTCATTATAGTTACTTTACAACTTTTATTAATTCTATATATATTTCCTAACATATTGATTAATGATTATTATCTCCTATGTTTAATTAAAGTAGAATTATTTTAAAAGAGTGAATCCATACTGGTAAGTTATATTTCGAAATATGTTTTGAAGTAATTTGAAAGCAAAATGTTAATAATGTTTTTGGTTAATAATGTTAATAATGTTTAGCAAAATGCAAAATGTTAATAATGGGGACTAGAGTTAAATCATCATGAAGAATAAAATTTCAATTGTAAAAGGAAAATTAAAACCATGTAATCATTGTCATTGATCGGAAATTAATTGACTTTTCAATGGGAACAAACCAACTCCCATTCAACGAACAATAATTGATAAAAATACGTAAATACGAAGGTGTTTCGTCTTTACTCGAGTTATAAGTTAACCGGCAATTCTAGTCAGGCCAAATATCTCCGCGAATAGAAGGGATTATGATCCAATGCTTATACTCAAAGAACTTATTCTTATGAAGCAATTTAGTCAATTCAATTTGGAGTAAAAAGCAAAATCTGTAGAGAAAGCCGATATAACCCGAGTAACCGTCCCCGACTCCTTCATGTTTATGCTTTTGAGTTCTATATTATTTGTAAAAATTAAACATTGGAAATTGTTATTATGAAATCGAATTCAAAGTAAAGTTGAAATAAACATAGAAGATTACAAAATAAGATAAATAATGCAAAGTTTGTAAAAACAAATCAAAGACAATATAAAGTAATATAAAAAAAATAAATAAAAATAATATATAATAAGAACAGTGAATGTACATGAAGATATAAAGGCCAGAAAAGGTATTAAGTAACTTACATTCTTTCTAGTGGGGGAGTTGGCAAAGTATTCTCTTCATGTCTGACTCATAAGTGTTGGGTGTCCGAAAATTCTTAGCGGCAGTGGGGGCTTTGAATAATATCAGTCGGTAAGACTTGGGTGAAGTAATTTATGGTAGTGGGTTGGACTCGGAATTCTTGAGGGATGTATTATGTGGAGTTCTTATTTGAGGGAGAATGTCTGTTAAGATTTTTTTGAAAATACTAGTGAATGGAAATTAATTAATTTCTGGCTAATTGTCGTGTCGCAATGATTAAGAATTTAAGAAAGGAAAAAAGGAATTTTTCACTGTCCAAGAGCTATTAGACAGACTAAAGTCATGAAATAGGCCCATTTTTTTAGTAACAGTATAGTAACAGCATGAGTCTGAAGACAATTAGGTTTTTACAATATATACAATTGAGTAATTACACTATATACAAATCCTTCAACTGATAGTCATCCAACTTATACCGCCTTCTCAGGTTTAGGAACAAATTATCATATCCCTATCAGTTACATGATTTAGGGTGAGTATTTAACGCCTGCTCTTTTAAGGCAATGGTTGATAAATTGAATGGGTATTAGATTATTTTTGAGAATTTTAATAAGGAGCAAAATTTCGCGTTGTAAATCTATTGTATCTGTCCATATAATTTTAATTCGTTGTATTTGATTAATTATAGTATTGTTAATTACTTTTTTGGATATGTTGGAGTTCCAATTTATTAATTTGTTAGTACTGAAATTGAAGTTTCTTGTTTTGTCAAAAAGTAAAATTTTTTTGTAGTTAATGATTTGAAGATCTAGAAAGTCTATGCTATTTTGTGAATTATTAGTTTTATTAAGTGTAAGACAATTCGGATAAATCTCGGAGTGTTCAATTTTATCAAAATTATTAATTGTAATAAGGTCATCAATATATCTGTAGGTGTGTTTGTAGTAATTTAACTCTTGTGGTTGTAGATTTTTTGGAAGTTAAAGTCTTTGACAAATAAAAAGATATTACAGATCGAGGTGCTGGAATGTAAGCCCATTGGCAATCCTCTGACTTGTTTAAAAATTTGATTTTGAAACTTGATGTAGTTATGAAAAAGTGTGCATTTTAGGTAGGTTTCCCATTTGTCAAGAGTCATGATATTGAGCATATCAGGGAAGAGTTTAGTTAGATCAAGTAGACTGGTATAGATTTCTTCTAGAGGAAGTGAGGTATATAAGTTTTCAAAGTCATAGCAATTAATGTTTTGGATGTTAATGGTTTGAATAGTATTAATGACAGGAGTGTTATTATGAATGATCCAGGATTGTTATGATTAGTGTTACAATCATTGAAAATAAATTTACAGATTTTATTAAGTTGAATTGAAAAATAATAGTCTACATTTTTCTTGTAATTTATTAGTTCCATTAGCAATAAATCTGAATTTTAATTGTGTTTTATGGAATTTGGGAATCGCATAAAGATTAGTAAATCTGTTGTAGTTTGCATTGAAAGTAATATTGAGTTTCTTATGAAAAGTTTTAAACCTGTTTATTATAGATGTTTCTGTAAGGTTGGCTAATTGATAAGTAGTCGCGTTGAGAAGTTCTTTATGAATAATTTCTGCGTAGAATTGTTTTCATATAATGCTAAAGTTATTAGTTGTTTAACTATTTTTGTAATAGTAAAGAGCTGTTTTAATTTTTTAATATCTGATGTAAGTTGCGACCAATTCAGTGTACTTTTAAACTTGAGGTGACTGATTTCGGTGGATATGCGTTGAAGAATTTTGGCTTTCCATTTTTATAAGGTATCTATGGGTAAATTCAGTTGATAGCTTGCTTTAACTATAACTTTGTTGATGTTGTTTTCGAAAGTCTTGTAACAGAAATTTGTAGTCATGTTTCTGACTGGTCTAAATTTTGTACCATAACTCATTAGTGTTTTAAGTTGATGGTTCTGTATGATATTCAGGTTGCCAGTAATTATGCGCTGGTGATGAGAATCCACGTAATTGCTGTAAATTGGTGTCTTACAATGTCATTCTGCTGTTTCATCTATTTCATGGTGGTTAGTCAGCAAGTTGCTTAAGGTCCTTTGATATTTAAATGCAACCATAGTTAATGTATCAACTGCGGGGAAGTAATCTTTACAATCTCTGATGATTCTTGAGAAATGAATATTGTCAAACTGCGGATGTAGAAAATTGACTTTAAAATAAATTTTGCGTTGAGTGAGACTATTAGAGAGTCCGAAAAAACTAAAATCGAGAATCATGTCTTTAATGATTTGTGTGTCGTCGTAGCTTTATTGAATGAATTTTTTTAGTTTGATAAGGAATTTATTAGTACAGGAGTGTAACAGTTGAGAGGTTTCTTGGGAAAGTTGTCTGAGTCAAAGAAACATTTCAATTGTTTTTTCAATGCAATGTATAAAGTGGATAAAATCTAGCCATTTTTAACTTAAATTTCTTTTTACATATAAATGTTTGTAATAATAACTGCTCACAGAGGGGTAAAGATGGGTATATATACAGGGCTATCCAGTAATATTTTTGGAAAAAAAATAACAAATATAGGAACATTTTATTATACAGATGAAGCCACACTCAAATACTACTTTTCTACATAGTCACCATACAATTAAGGCATTTATCTAGCGATGTACGAGCTTGGAAATTCCTTCGTCGAAAAATTCGGCCGCCTGCGCCTTCAACCACTTCGTTACCTCTTCTTGCCTTCCA